GAACCGTCACAAGCTGGCACTAGATTCTTAACTTTTCATAATACTATTTTAAATATTAATATTTCTTTTATTATTTATACACTTATTTTATTTTTAGTAGTACTAATTTTTTTTTTTTCATTGGGGTGGTTGTATAAGAGGACGGTAATTGAATAGCCCCACTCATTTTTTACTGATATTGGCAGAACTAGGTTATAACTAAATAAAGATTTTATTTTTTTCTTATTTTATATGATCTGATGAGATTTTGATTTTTATAATTTGTTTACCAAGTGGACGTGGATATTTTTTCAAATTTTCTTCGGTGGTTATTACCTAAAAAAACCATGATTTAAGTATAGCGGCATTACTACAGGTAGTTTATTAGAATAATAAATATAATAATAATTATATTGCTAGAGATCGGCAGATAATTGACATGTTAATTAATTGTTCTGAGATCAAGAAAATAAAAACTTATATAAGTAAGAATAATATGAAAATAGAGAAATTGCAATAAATATTATTATTAAAAAAATCTATTAGCTACAATTCAAATCCATTTGTAAATTGTAGTCATCATGTTGCGACTAGTCATAGTCACAGGCTGTGTTTAATGTTTAATACAATATTATGAGTTGCCCACATTTTTCTTCTATTTCAATCATATGTTGCACTCCTTTACTCCATATTTTTCAATCCACCGCCCTTATTTCCAAGATTATACCTTTCTACAATCTCTTTTACTTGCACCCAGCCCAAATCTATGGGGTTTAATTCACAGTGTCAAATTTACAATTTTCAGTAGCTGTACTGAATAAGCAACAATACTTAGATTTTGTCTGCAGTGCAGTCAGGGTTATAGATGACCAGCGATATTCTTGATGTTGCAGAACGTTGCAAATTAACTATCTTGGTATTTTTAGACTATAGCAAAGCCTTTGACAAACTCAATCACTCTCTTTTAATTGATATTTTGGGTTGTCCTCGTTTTCACGAGAACTTCTTATCATTTATCGGAAATTGTTTACCTGAGAGGCAGCAGATGGTTTACTTGAATCACCTGCGAAACCTATATTTTGCGGCGTTCCCCAGGTGTTCTATTATCGGACTGGTATCCTTCTCCCTAAATGTGTCTCAGCACTTGCATCATTACTTTGCAGTATAGTTCGTTCAAAGACTGATTCTGATTCAAGAACTCTGTGTAATATCTGGCACTGTGACTGCTTGAACCTTGAGCAAAAGTCCAGCGAAATCCTGGGTGGTAGAGCTTAGTTTAGAAATCTGTACTCCAAACATTTTAAAGTTCATCTCAACGACAAAAAACCTAGATTTGGCGATGGATAGCTTTTATCTTGTATAGGCCCTAACAACTAAATGTTCGGACAATGTAAAAAATGATAAAAAAGGCTATTAAATTTTTTGTTTTGCTTTCTCGATTGAATAATCAATTTACGCACATTACTATAGTACAGGAAGTGCTATCGTAATGAATTATTTTTTATTTCGCATGAATTACATAGCAAAATAACCGAAACGTACCAAATTTGCTGACAAATAAATATTCGTACGCGAATGTTTATTGACCAAGAAATTAATGCTTCCCATGCATTGATGGTAAAATGTAGTGTGCTTAGATAAATGAGATGTCAGTTTGGGTTGTATCTTTCAAGTTTGTATAATAGTTAATAAGAAAATGGCGCGTGGTGTTGCAACAAACAAAAAAGTGCGAGAACTTATCATATCTCAGTACTGCAGAGGTAAATCAATGCAAAAAATTTCAAATGACTTGAGAATTGCAATATCAACAGTCGAAGATATTATAAAAAAGTATGAAGAGACAGCTAGCGTTAGCGTTCGTGGTAAAAGTTCAAGCCGATCCTGTAAAATCACTGAAAGAGATTGTCGTATTCTGGTCAAGATTTGTAAAACTAGCAGACGAAGCGTCTTACGACAAATTCAAGCCCAATGGAATCACGAGGCAAACTTAAATGTCTTCAGGGAATGTTGTAGACAATGGGTGCATAAGTCTGGTTTGAGTTTTTATAAGGTAAGTTTACAATTTTTCCTGTTTCAATATAAAAACTATTAATATTCTCTGATCTACTTTTGTTAAAGGCAAAGGAAAACCATTATTAACGTCTATTCAGAAGAAAAAACGTTTGGATTGGGCAAAATCTAAAATATCCTGGACAACGGAAACGTGGAGTAACATTATCTTCAGCGACGAATCAAAATTTGATGTGTGTGTAGGTGATTTTCGAAAAAGGGTGATTCGCACAAAATCAGAAGCCTTTCACAAAGATTGTCCAAAACGCACGCTAAAATTTCCCCAGGCTGTTATGATATGGGGGTGTATGAGTGGTAAAGGGGTTGGCAACTACGAGTTCATTGATGGTACTGTAAATGCAGAAAAATACCAACAAATTTTATCAAGAAGTTTGATTCCATCAATAGAACGAACTTTTGGAAATGAAAATTTTATATTTCAGCAAGACGGTGCGTCCTGCCATAAGAACAAAAAAGTGGTTTGGGGACCATAATATGAAAGTTTTAGCGAGGCCATCAAGTAGCCCCGACTTGAATGTTATTGAAAAAGACTTTGCGTAACAATCCTCAGCGTACAGTTCCAGCATTAAAGGCAAAAATCACCGAAATTTGGAACACTTTCACCGCCGAATATTGCAAGACTAAAGTAAAAGATTTAAATGCGTCCGAATATTTATTTGTCAGTAAATTCGGTATGTTTTTGATATTTTGTTATGTAATTTATGTGAAATAAAAAAATAATTCATTACGATAGCACTTTTCGTTTTTTGTTTTCAATCGAAAAGGCAAAAAGAATCAATTTAAAATAAGTATGAATATGTTTTCTTATTATTTCGTAAATCGTCCGAACAATTAGTTGTTAGGGCTCATAGATTCGGATGGCCAACCAATTCAATCAAATCTGAACTTTTGCGTTCGGTTGGAATTCAAAAGTATGATCCTAGAGTGACGGAGAAACTTGGAAAAATTAAATGGCCGAAATGAATGAGTATCACATGTTTACCAAAATGATTGGTAGAAAATGTTTTAATTATCTTAGAAGATTATGAAAGTCCGTTACGACACTCATAAATTGGATATCCGTCATTAGTTCATAATCACCATACCGAAACATGTCTCTGCTTGCTTCTAATGTTTCTTTTCATTTGTTACAGCTAAATTATATAACAAAGTCCTACCTAATAATAGACAGCTTTAAGAAATATATTAGACTAACTATTAAGCATTTTCTATGAGTTGATGCTCGCTCCGCCGTCCTTGTAATTTTGCCCTTTCCGCGTCTTCCTTTTTTGTGCTTCTCTTTAATTATTAATATACTAAAAATTATTAATTAAGATTATATTATACTATATTATATATGTTTATATACTATACTTTAGTGGCTGTTTTGTTTGGTTGCTATCTGAAGGCAATATGTAGGTCAAATTAGGAGGCTCTTCCTCAACTTTGCCGTTTGAAGTTCCTTGCAATTAAGCTTTTATTATTATCATAATCGATATCCCTGTTTTCATATCAATCAAATTCGTGATTTCGACTTTCTGTTAAGCTTTTATTATTATCATAATCGATATCCCTGTTTTCATATCAATCAAATTCGTGATTTCGACTTTCTGTATTAGATGTCTGTTTTCAGTTTTTTAGTAACGAAAATTAATTTCTTCAATTCAGACAATAATTTTTTAAGGTAAAACAAGTGTATCACTCTTTTGATAGCAACGTATTCATCCTCAGTTTCCTGTACTTTTCTTTAGTGACCTGATAGAGCCGCGTTGATGCTCGTGCGCAAGTTGCTATATCGTCGACTGTCCAACTCCAATCAAACGCATTTGAAATTATTTTTGGGGGCGGAGGTTTACTAATCTCTTTCTCAGCAACAAATTGCAAAACTCGAGCCATTTTCAAGAACGAACTTTGCCAACAACTGACGGAAAGTAACTATAATATTAATGTTCAACACTAAGGCACATGTAGCTCAACTACCTGTCCGTAAATTCAGCTCAATCCACTTGTTAGCCATTCATTATATTATACACACATATTGGTTTTTAATGCATAACATTTTCTAAAGGGGAATTTATATTTTAATTGCCTAATTGGCCCGTATGTAATGTTAAGGATTGATTGGTTTTTAATGAAGTTCCGGGCAAAGGATTATTTATTTTGAACTTTTATGTAACTCAGTTACATATAATGTATAGTGTAATATATTCATTTATGCATATATAAAGTTAGATTTGTTTGTGGAAATTTTCCGATGTCGCTGTTGATGATAACATCTGGACAATATTTATATTAGGCGGAACAAAGCAATGAAATGAATGAAATGAAACTAAAATCACGCATATACGTTTATTTGCTATTAAAATAATTTTACAAATTTCATTGGGTTTTAAGTATTTACAAGTAGGATTATTACTTAAATAAATATTCATAAGAGTACAAAAAATAACAGAAGGCAACAAAAGTTGGAAATGCTTTTGCATAGGTTTACATCACACCCATATTAAGTATAAACTTTTAATGTAAGCTACAACATAGCACGCTGAAGTAACACCTTGGACTTTTATGTAGATACATCGGAAAAACATTTAAGATTCATAATTAATATATAGACGTATTTTAAGTGTAATATTTCCCTTCCAATTGAGAAAAATTCCAATCGGATATTTTTCGAAAATTCTTAACAAGGCAGTTTGAAAGAAAGGTTCATTTTAATGGAGGTTATAATTAGAATTGTTTATTTTCAGGCATTGTTATTGATTTGTTGTGTCACTCGAGTCAATAAAAATTTTGACGAAACTCAAAATCAGATTGTAAAATACGTTCCTTGCTCATTTAGGTGCCATTTAGCATATTAAAAACAATTTCAGCTTAAAGGAACGAAAAATATCGTCTGAAACGCGTTTTACATTTTTAAATTTGATTTTTTCGTCAATACGAGTCTCCCGTATTCGCAGTAGCAATAGACCTGGCGACGTACGAGAAAACTGAGTTAGCGTTTGGCGAATAAGAAGAATTTTTAGTACAAGTAATTCAATACAACTGACGGTAGTTCGGAAAGTTCTGTGCAAAATTAGGAATTTCAGGACGTTTTTTTGTTAAACGGTGTCTGAATTTAAATAAATCCACATGTCTGAGTCTCGACGCAATACATAAAAAATTATGCATTCGCCATCGTCAACAGCAAAATACTGGTTAATTTCTTTAATGCAATAAAATCGGTAACACCTTTAATACAGGTCTGATTCTAGAAATTGTCTCTATAGGATATTATTAGTTATATTTAAGGGTGTTAATATCTAGAAAAAAATGTTAAAATCAAATATGTCTTCAAACTCTTTACTTTAGAGGTACAGGGCAGTCTCGATGAACTGAAGAAAAATAAATTTTTGGCTTTTTCACATCTTTTCACTGAAGAAAGTTAGTCTTAAATGATCAAATGAAATTTGATCCAACGACGACGATTCCAACCACTGTCTTTGTTTAGAAATACTAAGTTGTGGACAAATGGCACGTTGATATTAAATTTTCTTAGGATTTATGTTCTTAAGAATCGGCACTTAACTAATAATTGCATAATCGTTAGGTAAAATATGGCGAGATAAAGTTTCTAACAATTTATTTTGACGAGACATGGTTTGATGAACATGACATTCCCACAAAACGAAACGACTGAGCAACCAAAATTGGCGCTACAACATATTGATTTACTATTCTCTTTTAGTTAATTTACCTATTTATTTACTGGATTGGAGAATTTTTGGTTTATTGCATTGAAGAAATCCCAATTTCACCTTCAAAACGGAATATTTCATATTTTGCTGCCGATGTGATTGTTGCCGTTGCCTAAAAGGGAAACGGACGTCTCCTGCATGGGTATTGAATTACCGCGGCGCATAACCGACAAGTTTTGGGGCTTTCTATTTATCGACTGAGAACGTTTTGTCGATACCATCGACATGGTGGTGGCGTTTTGACCTTGACATGTATTGCACCTGGACCGCTTTGCTTTGATGCACAAGAGGTATCTGAAACAAAAAAACACTAAGAAAAGCTGCATAATCTTTCACATTACTAACCCCAAGTTAATCTAATTCATTGAAAATAAAACCTGAAGCCTAAAGCAGGCTTCTATTAGAGAGCTAAAGCGCCAGGAATGAAAATTGTGCGTCCTACATGAATTTTACTATGCTCAGTTTATTGGTGAACTGCAAACCTTGTGATAGTGGACATTGATTGTCAAGGGTCCTGCGAATGGCAGTTGTTGGTAACGTTTTTTGTTTAAAATAACTAGCGTTTTTGACATTGTTGCTTCAAAAGCAGTAAATTATTAATCAATGTGTTCAAATCTCTTCGCCGAAGAGTCAGAGTTACAATAATATTGGAAATGTGTTAGAATATAACTGGAGTTATGATAAACACGGCCCCATCAGGTCATCAAAGAAAAGCACAAGAGGAAAAGGAATTGTAATAAAGGATGATGATAACACTGCCATCGGAAAAATAATACCTGTTTTAGAAAAAATAATATCTGAAATGAAAAAGGACGATATCATTCTACCCATGGGTGAGAAGTAATTGTAGAAAATTCAAAACAGAAAGTGACTTTTAATAGAGAAAAACGAAATTATTGACGACAATATTTGACAAAATCGCTTCAAAATGAAATATAAGGGTACTTTGTAGTCCGAACATGAAGCAAAAGTCTGATAAGCTAAAAACGTGTTGGAAAACACTGTAGAGTCTTTGGATGTCAATGACATAATTATATTCGTGTATAATTATTATTATTATATTTATTATTCTAAAAAACTAAATATAGGACGCCGCTGCCACATTTTTTTCATTTACCAAACTCGCCTTTATATTTCAAATTAGTGTGACCCTAATTTAACAACGATTCTCGCATTAAGAAACGGAGCATTGTTCTAGGTCTAGATAAAGTATGGTAAGAGATACAAATGAAAAAACGTATCTTCTTGGCAAGTCAATAAGAAAACACCTACGTGGTCGGACGAATTTAAGAACCAGGTGAAAATCAAAAAGCGGAAAAAGAAAACTCAACAAAGCTATGAAGAGTATAGGCCCGAAAAATGGAAGAAATAAAGTGATAGTGGTCAAAAAGACAAAATGGGAGGAGTTTGGGGATAAAAAGGAGGCAAACAGCACACATTAGCGAAAATTGTTTTTTAGGATGATAAAGAAAGTGAGAAAAAATAAGAGCTATAAAAAACGGAGAAGGTGACGTACTTACTGAAGGTGGAAGTAATACTTTCAAAATTCATTGAATGCAAGTAGGAACACAATAAGATAATGAAGGTTACCAAGCATGTGAAGATGTGAAGAAGACAAAATTTGCAAGGAGGCGCTAAGAGAAGCAATAAACGAGCTAAAAAATGGAAAAACGCCAGGCAGCGACAGAATTATAACGGAAATGATTAAATACATGGATGAAAGCGGAACACAATTATGTCTAAACGTGTTAAATTTAGCGTGGCACCAAGAGAAAATACGAATTGTTTGGTAAATGGATGTACTACTAGGCGCACAATAGAGAGAAACAGACAACAAACTTTGCATTTATAGATATGAAAAAAGGTTCCGACGAGGCACCTAGAGTACAAATATGGAAATGATTAAGGGAAGAACAAACCAACACTAAGTTGTGTAGCAAAAGGCTTGTATAAGAGAGCAGGAAACTGGATAATTAGTAAGCATTTAAAGAACCATTTATCACAAATGATCTCGTTACACACGGCGGAAGCTTGAGCCTTCTGTTATTCTATCCATCATCTTTATGGACAAAACAATTAAAATTGCAAAACAGAGATTAAGACTAAGATTGAGCTATTGAAATCTGGAACATGCCAACCTTTGAGAGTATGAATTTGCAGACGACATATTTGGAATGATATACTGACATACTGAGCTGGTGGTGGTGGCAGAAAAAAATAGAAACGCATATATTACTTTCAATGGTGAGCTAATTGAACAGTACCCACCTGTCTAATTGAACAGTACCCACCTGTTATGGTACCTAGGAGTAACATTTGAAGAGAAATGTAATCAAGAAGCTTAATACATGATCGGACAAAGCTAAAACGGTTTTCCATGCGCTGAGAAAAGGACTAAAAATACAACAATGGAGTGACAATATATGAAAACGTAAAGTAAAAGTCTATAAGGTGGTGTACAGAAGTAATTGACATATGGATGTATAACATGGCTATTGGCTGAAAAATCACAATAAATTGGATAAAAGGGATAAAATTAGATATGACGATTTTACAGTAGAATTAAATATGAAACCAGTACATAGAACTGAGTCAGCTGGGATGGTGCGAACACTCGCAGAGATGAACTTGACAGTTTCGGTCAAGAACGTGTGAGAGAAAGAGAGAATGACCTGGAAGGACTTGGAACGAAATAAAAAAATACGGAAAAATCTGGAATGGGGCAAAGCAAATCACACTGGACAAGAAGAAATGAAAGCATTAGATAAATAGTTGATTATATCGAGACATTATTCTTGACCTTACGCCCTAAAGGAACAAAATTCTTTGATATATATATATATATATATATATATATATATATATATATATATATATATATATATATATATATATTCTCACGTATTGATTCACGGATGGAAAAATGTGATGACACTATATTCCGGGATATCATCCGTTCGCTCGTTGAACTCCGACTGGAATCCTGCATCCGACTGGAATCCTGCAAATCCTGCATCCGACTGGAATCCTGCAGTGTTCGAAGTGTTTTCGGAGCGCGAGCATTGAAGATGCCAAGTGAGATTTTGGCGAAACGTCTGCAGGATTCCAGTCGGATGCAGGATTTGCAGGATTCCAGTCGGAGTTCAACGAGCGAACGGATGATATCCCGGAATATAGTGTCATCACATTTTTCCATCCGTGAATCAATACGTTAGAATATATATATATATATATATATATATATATATATATATATATATAGGAATATAGTGTCATCACATTTTTCCATCCGTGAATCAATACGTTATATATATATATATATATATATATATATATATATATATATATATATATATATATATATATATATATATATATATATATATATATATATATATATATATATATATATATATATATATATATATATATATATATATATATATATATATATATATATATATATATATATATATATATATATATATATATATATATATATATATATATATATATATATATATATATATATATATATATATATATATATTTATATATATAGTGGTAAAAATGGTCATATTAAGCAAACTACTTCAAAAAATGGTTCAAGTTCACTTTTATGATATGTGAATTGGAATAGGTCACTGAGTCGCGTCCGTTACGAGATATTGGTTTTCGTCATTAATTGTAGTCGACTGAGACTTCTGTAAATAAAAGTAGGTTTCTTTCGAAGTAAGTTTCCAGCCGTTAGGAATGTCGACAAATCGTTTGTGATGAGGCGAGATTGAAATCCCGAAGACTGTGGATTAGTGTTCAAATATAAACTAGATTTTTATTTTTAACTTTTCCCGTGATCCTGAAATAACTGTCGCAGACAGAGACACACAGCGCTGCGTATTAAATCGATTATGCAAATTTGAAATGTAAGTGTACCGTGCGTTCAATTTATCTGGATAAAAGTTTGGATTTTCCATAACTTTTTTTTTAATTTCAGAAAATTTGTGGGTATTTTGTTTCATTCATTTATTTAGGAAAAAATATGCATGCGGACCCTATTTTTTTTAATTTACATTTAGCTTTTGAATAACAAATTTAAAGCAAGGTCCCGCCTTTATTTTATATTAGTTTAGGAGTTGATTCACCCCTTATGCCACAAAAACTATTAGTAATGCACTTGAGTCTGTTAACATTCATTTTTACTATAACCACCTTTGCAGAAATCGTAATATTATTCGCCGCTGCTACATTATTTTAATTTAGCAAACCCGTCTTTGTATTGTGCGCAAATCAGTGTGACCCTAATTTAAGAACGCTTCTCGCGTTAAGAAACAGAGCATAGTTCTAGGTCTAGATAAAGTATGATAAGAGATATAAATCAAAAAACGTATCTTCATGGCAAGTCAACAAGAAAACACCTGCGTGGTCGGAAGAATTTAAAAACCAGGTGAAAATCAAAAAGCGGAAAAAGAAAACAAAAGGACAAAATGGAAGGAGTTTGGGGATAAAAACAAGGCAAAAAGCACACATAAGCAAAAATTGTTTTTTAGGATGATAAAGAAAGTGAGAGAAATTAAAAGCTATAAAAAACGGAGAAGGTGACCTACTTACTGAAGAAGTGGCAATCGTGAATTGGTAGAAGCAATACTTCCAAAATTCAGTGAGTGCAAGTAGAAACGCAATAAGATATTGAGAATGTGAAGATGAAGAAAAAATTACCACGTAGGAGCTAAGAGTAGCAATAAAGGAGCTAAAAAATGGAAAAACGTCAGGCAGCAACAGAATTACAACGGAAATGATTAAATGCTTGGATGAAAGCGGAACACAATTGTGTCTAAAAGTGTTAAATTTAGCGTGGCATCAAGAAAAAATACGAATTGTTTGAAATTAAAAACAAAAAGTTATGGAAAATCAATTATAAAATATATAAGAGGCTCAGTTTAAAAAAAAAATTTACCATTGTTTTTTCAAAACGATTACTTTGGTAGCAGGGCCAGAAATTGGGAAAGTATGTGAATATATGTAATTCTTATATGTAATCATTAAAAAAAATATCCTAAAAAATTGAGACTGTTTTGACTTGATTCTAGAAAAAAGCGATCCATTTTGCATACAAAATCGTACTTGGTAAATATCGATGTCTCAAGCTGATTGCCACATATTCGTCTTTAAATTTCCACCTTATCAGTGTATGACAACCGGAAATTTCATGTTTGTGATTGTGCTAAAGTACTTTCTTTAGTGGTTTTGTCAATAATTTTTAATTTTGTAGCTTTAATTTCAACAATCTGTATTTT